TTCTTCTTTTCTTCTGCACTAGTTTATCTAGGTAGGCTATCAGAAAGTGACACAGGGCATGGGCGGTGAGAACACAGAAGATGGAGGGGCTCCTGGAATTGATCAGAGGTGGCCTTGAGGAATTTTGTATAGGGACTGGGTGTAAGCGTTTACAGAAAAAAAATGGAAGGTCTCAAGTGAGACACTTCAGAGTCTAGTACAAAACTGGATAAATAGTATCCTCAATATTTCAAATCCATGGAGTTTGGAAGGCAAGCATGTGCAGGAGCCTTCCAAACCCCAAATATGCTTATGGGATTGGGACTTATGCTGAGATTGTAAAATCTAGTTTCATGCATCTTAATGATGACAAGAAAGCTACCAGTTCAGCCCAGAGCACTTCTCCCCAAGGCCCAAACTGTACTGTGAAGTTTTTTTTTTTTTTTTGGGGGGGGGGGTTTTCTTGGGGGGGGGTATCCTGTATTAGATTTTAGTGAACCAAAGTCACCATTTTCAGGATGAACTTAGATATGGAAAATAATAGAAGAACATGCTTCAGTAAGAACTCAAGTTATGTGTCATTGTGACCCTCTGGGGGGCGGGTGTTTATCTCTAGGTAAGCTCTGTTGTGCTTATATTGGAGACATGGTATCTTCATTTGTCCCCCAAACAAGGGTTTGGATAAATTGGAAGTCTTTCAAAGGCAACCAGACAAAGAAATTAGGAGCTGGGAAAATTGATTTATGAGCCAAGATTAGAAAAGGTTAAAGCATTTTGTTTGTCTAACGGACAAATGAAGGAACAGTCAATCAGGAGTAAAGACAAAAGAAATGACAGTGTCATGAATAGACAGTGCCCCATTGACTAGAGTATCCAAAGTCATTCCCAGTCTTGAGGGAGGAGACAGGAGAGGGAAGAAAAGAGGGGAGGAGGAACCAAAAGGAGAAGAAACAAGAGATTGCTCCTCTCTGTTCTCTTCCCTGGGTCTAATTAGAGGATGTTAACATTAGCCCCAGAAGTTGGGATCTGCTTTAGTTTTACAAGAGTGGTGGCCCTTCTGTCTTCTAGCACCATCACCCACACCTGCCTGTGATTTATACATCATAAACCTCTTTCTATACCTTTGTCTCATAAAAGTGTAAAATTTTTTTCATAAGAAAGTTAGTCTTTTAATAGAAAAGTTAACAGACATTGAAAATAATGTTTTACTAAAGGAAAAAAGAACTGACCTATAATCATGCTACCCAGAAATCCCACTGAAGACGTTTGTCTGGCTGAGCTGTGGTTCTCGCCCTGTTGGTGTTTTGGAGAATTTACCTTAGCTTCTCTTCCTGGGTCCTGCTTGTCTCTCCCAGAACATCCCTGGCAGCTGCTACAGGATGGCCTCTGCTCCTTCCTCCTGTTCATGGCGAATCAGTATCACGACTGTAAATATCACTTGGACTGGTACCCAAGCATCTCACATTCAGGGTGCTCCACCCTGAGCTCACGCTTCTTCAAAGCCTGACGGTGCTCCTTCTCTGCCCTGCCAGTGGTTATGTAGCCTGAGTCTTCCCAGGCCAGTCCCGTTTGGCTTCTGTTGCCCTACAAACCGCTGTCCTGCCTTTCTCCTCTGGGACTGCTGTTTTATACAGTGTTGGGTGGCCTTGACAATGAATTTCTGACTCCCCTCCCAGCTGCCTTCTCCCCCGGAGACTCCCTCCTTACCTCCCTTTCCCCAGGAACACAGGCTCACACACAGTGGCTCTGCCCCCGGCCTGCTTTCTCTGCTCCAGCTCCTCTTCGCTGAATTAAGGCTGGCAGTACTGAGGAGCTGTAGAGGTGACCGAAAGGCACAAAGCTGCAGACTAGTTAGTTCTCACACCTGGCAACCACGCCCTGTGTGCTAGGTACCATCCCAATTATTACAGCTTCCCTGTGTACGTCCTACTTTAAATCCAAACCTCCTCAGATCTCCGATATTTCATCTCTCTCAGAATTCCCAGTAGCCTTTTCTGTATCTCTTCCAGGCAATTAGTAAAAATTTCCCACATCTGGAATTTCACTACCATATTGATAGTAGAAGTGGACATGCTGTCCCTTGTTCAGGTATATTTTATTACCATTACTTGGATTTCTAAACCAGTGGCTCTCTAAACCAGTGGCTCTCAACCTATGGGTAGCAACCCCTTTGGTAAATTTCTATCTCCAAAAATATTTACATTATGACCCATAATAGCAGCAAAATTACAGTTACAATGTAGCAAGGAAAGTAATGTTCTGTTTGGGAACCACACAGCACGAGGAACCGTATTAAAATGTCGTAGCAGTAGGAAGGTTGAGCACCGCTGCTCAAGACCATCCACACCCTGAGGGAAGAAGAAAGAAATCATGGTTATTTGTGCGGCTCTTCAGGCTTCCTCCAATCCATGTAATAGTTGTGTGTGGTGAAGTCTTTTTGAGAACATTTTTATTAGGAAATAATTCACATGAAATGCAACTCGGCCATTTAACTGTACAGTGTCATCATTTCTGAACTATTGACAGAGCTGTGAGACATCACCACAGTTAGTTTTAGGACATCCTTGTCCCTCCACCTGCCAAATTGTATCTTAGGTACTATCCTCCTCTCATGCCATCTCCTTCAGCCCTAGAGCCTCCATTCTACGTTCTGTTCTCACAGACTTTTCTCTCTGGAACGTTTTCTGTAAATTGTGCAATGTGTGCTTTTTCGTGACCGGTTCCTTTCATTTGGCTTTGTGTTTTCTAAGGTTCATCTCTGCTGTGGCAGGGGTCACTATTTCATTCATTTTCAAGGGCAAATACTGCCCCGTTGTTTACCTGTTCGACAGCTAGTGGGCGCTTGGGAAGTTTCTGCTGGTTGGCCCTAGCAGCAAGTACTGACTTGTGGGCATGTTCTCACTGACCTTGCATACGTCCTGAGGAGTAGGCTCACTGGGTTACGCTCGCCGTGTTTAACTTTCTAAGGAACTCGAGCTGTTTTCCAAAGTGTCTGCATCATTCTACCTTCTCGCCAGCACTACACAGCCGTGCTCTGCGACCCTCTCTGCGACCCTCCTCGTGCATCCTGACAATATTTTTAATGGACTTATGGTGAACAAGCCAATCTTCCTTAGACAATACAGAACAATTACTTAGAGAACATTTGCACTGCATGAGACAATGCAGCTAGCCTAGGAATGTGCACAGGAGGCGTGTCTCCTGTATATGCAATTACTATGCCATTGTATGTAAAGGAATTGAGCCCACGCACATTTATTTTTAGTCCACTAGGAGTGATGGCACCCATTTCCCATGTTCTGATGGACCCCTGCATCTAATTTCTCTACATCCCACACGTGGTGGGTTTTATTTTTATATATATACAGACCTATACATTTTTTCTAACACGTTAATTAACAGTTTTTTACTAGAAAAATGCCTCCCACCCCGAGGATCTCCTTGTTGTATTGGAAAGGCACGTGAAAAGGAAAAAGGTGACAAGATTAATCTTTATTCAAATAAAAATACAAAACCTGGTCTTTTCCAAGTCTCCTCATCGTAGTGCTGGGAGTTTCTCAGGAAATGCAAATATGTGTTTTCCACATGAATGAGGGCGCTGTTGTTTGACGGTGGCAACAAAGGGTAGTGTCTCATGTATAAAGTCAGGCAGCTAAAGGCAGGAAGAATTGGAGATGCACCAAGTGACTTAAGGAAGAATAAAAATATATCAAAGTGAGCGAGAGAAGGGAGAGCAGAGGCGACATTCCAGGCTGTGAGAGCACCGGCTGCCCCTGAGGTCCAGTGTGAGGTTGGAAAGCCGCTGTCCCTCTTGGATTGCCACAAAGCCACATCCCAGGAAATGAGCTGTGATGGATGTTAGAAAAGCGGAATAATTCCTAATTATAAACAAATGGTGCAAAGGCCCACTTCTGGAGCAGTTCTCAGGAGGCGCACTGTGCCGGTCCTAGTCGAGCCATTCTCTCTAGCTGAGGATTAGATGCAGCTGTTGTTCCCCCTTCTTGGGTGAGGAATCCAAGGATACGGAAATAAGAGACTGCTTGGGAGACTAGCGAGGTGTAGCTCTGAACACCATGCTGTAGAGCCGGGGCGCCCCGAGGCCTGCTTTAGGCTGCTGGGCCGCCACTCTCATGATTATGTTTGTTTTCTTCACCTACATTGTTTGAATACAGCAATTAAAAATACATTAACCACCTTGTGATTTTCGTTTAAATGAAGTCAATTTAAATAATGAGCCAAAGGCATTTGTTTTTGTAATAGTTTTTAAATTACTTGTAATGTAGCGTAATATGCCACCAGGTCTGTGGAGAGTTGAGGCGGAGTGCGGGGACACAGAGACCGAGTTTATGAAGATTAAACTTCATCCCGGAGGCAACAAGGAGCATTAACTTTCTGAAATTTTCAGCTGGCACAGAATAACCATGGATCTATGGGGCGCTGTGTGCTACCTGTGTACTACCTGTGTGCTACCTGTGTGCTGCTGCCTGTAGTGGTCAAACAGCGCACTCAGCACATTCACCACCTCAGACTCTTGGCTGCTCCTCGTGGTGAGGACATCCCAGATCTTCTCTTCTCGCTCCCGTGAGGCACAGTGTAACTGCTAATGATGCCACTCTCCCGTGCTGACGGAACCGGAGCACATTCCCCTTGTATAGCTGTAGCTTTGCTCCTCCTCAACCTTTGCAGCCAAGTGGCTCCTCTGTGGGTGGAAATGCCCTCTGCACTAAGGGTGTGTGATAAATGTTTAGGACACAACCGGAGAGAGCGAGTCCAACTGGGAATCTGCTGAAATAGTCACGATAGAGATGAAAAGATAAAACCAGAGCAGTGGGAAACCAGATGAAGCTATGTTTTTTAAGGGTTTATGTCATGCCCCTCAGGTCTTTTAAAAAGCATCATCTCTGGTGTTTCCTGGAGCCGTCAGATCGGCCCAGGGGCCCGTAGATGTAGCTTTCACAGCCTGACCAATGACCTAACCAGACATGGACAGCTAACCAGCCAGGACCCTCTTGTGATTCCAGGCTGCTTTGGCAGGAGGCACCACCATGATCATTGATTTCGCCATTCCTCAGAAAGGCGGCTCCCTCATTGAGGCCTTTGAGACCTGGCGCAACTGGGCAGACCCCAAAGTCTGCTGTGACTACAGCCTGCATGTGGCGGTGACATGGTGGAGTGAGAAGGTAAGGCAGCTGGCTTCCAATTTGCTCCATTTGGTCCCCTTTTCTGTTGCTCTGTATGAGAGCGAGAAACTGGAATGGCAAATGGCAAACCCCAGTGATGCCCTGCCTCGGGGGTGACTGGGCCTGGAGGGGGGAGTTTCATTGCAAATTCCTCTGAATCTGTTGAAATCTGAGTACTGGGAAAGATTCCAAGTAAAACATCATATAAAGCACACAGCAGAAAGCCGTTATGCCTGTTCACAGCGGCATCACCCTGTATTTGATCCAGGAATTGTCTCCTCTGCTTCCAACAGCACCTATTCCAATTGATTCTCTCTGATTCCCAACTTCCACACACCTGGAATTTTTAATTTGTGAGAAAGACAGCAAAGAAATTCTAAGCTTAGAATTTCTTCAAGTGGGAGGCCTCCATTCCCACACTTGAGAGGAGGAGACAAGCTAGGATCCCTTATTCCAAGGCCCCAGCTGTGTGACTCAGCTCCCCCAACACTACTCTGCTGTTGTCATCACCTGAGAACCATTTATACACCTCAAAACACCCTTCCGTGCCTGATAGTTATTTAGAACATGAGAAAGATGGCAAGATTCAGATGGAAAAGATGATTTTTGAGAGCCATTAAAATATCTACTGAAATCTACTGAAAGTGTGTGTGTGTGCATGCGCACACACCTTGGAAGAAAATTTCCCCTGGATTTAAATCCTGACTCATTTCTTCATATTGACTTTATTCAGAAATTTTAGGGGTGGGAGGAGGGTGAGGTGATATTATTGACTAGGTCATACACCAGCCTCCCTTTCAGACACCAAGTGATATCGAACAAGGACCAATCTGTAACAGGTAACCCAGCAGACACTGCTCAAGTTGATTTTTCTCCCTAAATGATATCTAAGTGATGAGTTTTGTCTACTTTACATGTTTAAAGGCAAGCCTTCCTTTCTTTCATCCCTACCTACCTCTTTTCTTCATTCCCTTCTTCCTCCCTTTCTTTCCTCACTCCTTTCCTCCCTCTCTTATTTTGTGAGAGCAAAGGCAATAATGTTAGCCTTTACCAGTCCTTTTCATACTTTAACAAGTAGATAGATCCCCAAATACAGGTCCTGTTGTGTTGCCGTAACCAAGTGCTTAATATAGACTCAAACAATAGAAACTTACTGTCTTGTCTGAAGGCTAGAATGCCAAGGTACACAGCCACATGATTGCGTTGTCCTCCGGGCTGTGACCAAGGCTCTACCCCATGCTTTTGCAGAAGCTTCTGGCTATCTGTGTAATTTCTGTGAGCCTTGCAGAAGGAGCATTCTGGCTTCTGTTTACACCCCCTTGCACATGCCTGCATCTCAGCTTCCTCTTTCCCAAGGGCACCAGTCATCTGGGATTACAATGTACGCCAATGACATCATTATAACCAATTACATCTGCAGTAATCGGCTTCTAAACAAGGGCTCAGGACTTTACCATAAGGGTTAGAGGGCACACAAGTCAATTTGTTAAAATGTTTTTCCTTGTATGAAGATTCTTTGTAATCTTTTTATTGAAAATAGATTTTTCCCTCCGGATTACGGTACCCTCCCTCTACTCCTCACACTTCCTCTCCATCTCCCCTCCCATCCAGGCCCACGGCTTTTCTGTCCCTCATTAGAAAAGAACAGGCTTCTAAGAGATAATAATAAAATATTTTTTGTTTTTATTCTTGTTTGTTTGTTTTCCGAGACAGAGTTTCTCTGTGTAGCCTTGACTATCATTGAACTCTGTAGTCTGGGCTGGCCTCAAACTCAGAGATCCTCCTGCCTCTGCCTCCTGGGTGCTGGGATCAAAACGTGTACGCCACCGCCTCCCGGTACAAAATAAAATATATTAAGATAAAACAAAAACTATCACATTGAAGTTGACAAAGCAAACCAACATTCGGAAAAGAGCCCAAGAGAAGGCACATGAATCAAAGACTCACTCATTTGAACACTCAAGAGTCTCAAATAAACACTGAACTGGAAGCCATAATATATACACAGAGGACCTGGCACAGACCTGTGCAGGCCTGCTCCAGTCTCTGTGGTCTCATATCAGATTTTCTTATGTTGATTAGGAGGGCCTTGTTTTCTTGGCACCCTCCAACCCCTCTAGCTCTTACACTCTTTCCTCTTCTGCTGCTGGATTCTGAGGGGAGGAATTTGATGGAGACCTCCCATTTAGGGCTGAGTGTTCCAAGGTCTCTCACTCTCAGCAGAATATCTGGCTCTGGCTCTCTGTTCGCCTCTGCTGCAGGAGGAAGCTTGTGTAATGATGGTTGAGCAAGGCGCTGATCATAAGTCTGGGGTACCCCACACGTCAGTTTGTAATAGTTGGCGAGACTGTCTGCATTGTCATCTTTAACAGAGAGAGGGGCCGCCTACCAAGTCCCATGCAGGCCTTGCCCTTGCCCTCTTGCCTGTACCTTTGAGAGGTGAGATTTCAGAGTGCGTTAACATGTCTAGCTTGGCACTTTTTTGTTGTTTCTTTGAGACAGGGACTCTCTACCTAGCTAGCATGACTGCCCTGGATAAGTCTGGAGCTCATACAGATTTACCTGCCTCAGCCCGCTAAGGGCTGTGATTAAAGGCAGCACCACCACACCCAGCAGTGAAACTTAACCTTCTTTGTCTGAGTATTTACTCCAAGAATTGTTGATGCTATTTTCCACCTCAGGTTTGTCTGGGGGGTGGGGGGGGTGTTCTGTTATATTATGGGTGTATACAGTTGTCTGGATAGTTTAAAGAGCAATTTTTTAAAAAGATAAACGGATTAGTGAATACTGCCCCAAAGAAGGGCTCTTTGACTTTTAGCAACAATGTCCATTCTTGCAGCGCCCTCTGCACCTACATATCCGGCTCTCTACCTATTTTTCTAAGAACTAGACCTACACAGAGAGATTTCACTCAAAATCAGGACGTGGATGTGGGAGCAAATGGACACGTGTGTTTGTCAGCTCTGGCTGCCGTAACAGCACACCAGAAGCTGGGTGGTTTAGTAGCAGAATTCTCAGAGCCCAAGGCAGGACTGGGAGGGCTGGCTGCCCGGAGGCTTCTCTTTCTGACTGCAGACAGCCATCTTATCACTTCATCCTCTCTGAGGCTCCCCTCTGTGCCAAGGCTTGGTCCCTGTCTGAACCAAGTTGGAGGAGATTAGCTATGAGCAACACTCAAGCTGTGCTTACTGTGTGGTTACCTATGGAAGTGTGTGTTAACCTGTAGAAGTTCCAGTAATTTTCCTTTGAAAGTCCTCATCCATTTTGAGACTTGCATTGGTCCTTCGGTGTCTCTTACTGGGTAGTCTTGACCTGTTTACTTCTGATAGCTGACAACCTTGAAGATCCCCAAGCTATGGCTAGTCCAGAAGCTGGCCGGTTGTGACCTCACACCTCCCAGCTGTTCTGCCAGGGTGCTACAGCACAACACTCAGTCTGTGCCTCCTCAGGCGAATCTGGTCCTCCGAGACTCACCCTGTGGCTTTTAGATCTGAGCCCCAGCTCTTACCATACATAGCTTTGACTCCTTCTAGACCCATGTTTGCAACTGTTGCCACTTTTTTAGAACAGTCTCCTCAAATTGCAAGATAGATGCAGGGAATTTTAGATTCAAGAATAGAAATAAAGTACTTCAGGGAAAGCTATTCATTCTTCCATGACTTACGGGCCTCACAGCAGCAGCCGTTCATCAGGTGAAATGGGATAGAGCTTAGGAGAATGTAGGTGGATTTAACTGCATGTTGCTGAGGTCAACTGTCACCCTTATGTTTTGCTTGCTTTTTTTCTGAATGTAATCTTTGAGGAATGATGAAATTATCATTTAAGAGGCATGTTGTTGTATCTGTCACCCACTAGGTAAAAGAAGAAATGAAAACCCTCGCCCAAGAGAAAGGCGTTAACTCCTTCAAGATGTTCATGGCCTACAAGGACGTGTACATGGTACAAGATGAAGAGATGCACGCAGCCTTCTCTCAGTGTAAGGAGGTCGGCGCAATCGCCCAGGTGCACGCTGAAAACGGAGTCCTGATTGCAGAGGTGAGGGTGCACATTCCAGCCCTTCCACAGACAGGAAAATAGCTACTGTTTAAGACTCGGTCCTAGGAGGCAGACTCAGTGCACGCAGGGCAGAAATTAAGTCGCTAGTTACCTGTGCCACATAAATGCCAGAGATGGTTCACTTGTCACTGTCTTTGATTTTAGTCAGTGGGTCCACATGGTTGGGAGAATTCTTCTTTTCCGACCAGCTGCCTATATTCCATTTTTTAAAAATGTGCTGATATAAAAATATGAGTTATTTTCTTTTACATTTATTTGTGTGTGTGAGAGAGAGACAGTGTGTGTGTGTGTGTGTGTGTGTGTGTGTGTGTGTGTGTGTGTGTGCTGTGTACATGCAGATGCCAGTAGAGGATAGAAGAAACTGGACCCCCTGAACTGTTACAGACAACTGTGAGCTGCCATGTGGGTGCTGGGAACTGAACCTGGGTCCTCTGGAGAAGCAGCCAGTACTCTTACCTGCTTAGCCATCTCTCCAGCCCTTGTAAACCATTTCTGCTATGTCCCTCAGCACTGGCTTGTTTTCTCGGTTTTCAGAGGCTCAGGCTGCTGGTGAGCGCTAATGTGAGGACTTCTGATGAAGTGAGCAGTGTCTCAGGCAGAATTTTCAGAGACGGGAAGAATCTAGACGATATTTATTTCTCGTGTTACTTCCGTTCATAATGGCCGAAGGGTACACCATCTCCAGGATTTAAAGAGCTGTCTCTAGCCCTTTACATTAGCTGGTTGTTTTTCCTTCCTTCAGGCTTAGTTCCCATTAAAGTAAGATTGCAACTCAGTAGCCAGAGGCAGTGGGAAGAATGAGAAGGGAAAGTGCGAGCTATAAACTCAAGCAGACCAGAGTTTAAATGAGACTTCCTGGCTGTGTGACGCCGGCAAGTGGCATCATTCCTCTGAATCTTGGCTTGCAGCCCTTTTTGTGAAAGAAAGAAAGAAAAATTTGAAGAAATAATGAATCTGTTATCATTAGTGGACCGAGTTGAGGGGCAGTCGAGACTGACTCGGGAGAAACAAAACTCACTAAACACTGCATTATATGACTCACTTCAGCGAGGGTCTCAAGTAGGTCTACTTTGAATTACTATGCTAAGTCTCAAGCACAGACAGTGCTTCCTACGGAATGTGAGTGAACAAACCTGGTTTTTTCAGGGCTGGGACGGACAGACAGACAGGGGGCAGAGACCAGAGGACAAACTCAAAAAAAAATGTCATTCTTCAGGAGCCAGTCTGCTTTGTTTTGGAGACAGGGTCACTCGCTGACTGGGAATTCAATCAGGCCAGCCTGGCTGCGTGGGCCTCGTGGATCCACCTGTCTCCGCCCAGCCCCAGCGATACAGGCCGTCCACCATCATGGCTGGCTGTTTGACGTAGGTTCTGTGGATTGAGCTTGGGATGCCACGGCTCACCGTGTCAGCCAGCAGACGCCGCTGGTAAAATCATGCACACCGGGACGCTGCTCGCGTCTACCATCAGCACATGTCCACCTACAGGGGAGAAATCTAAGAGTCTATCGGAACCTTTCGTTTCCAATAAAAGAGCGTTGGACATTAATAACCCTTCCTGCTATCCTTTTACATGCTTGCTGCCCTTTTAGGGAGCAAAGAAGATGCTGGCGTTGGGGATAACAGGCCCGGAGGGGCATGAGCTGTGCCGCCCCGAAGCAGTGGAGGCGGAGGCCACTTTGAGAGCCATCACGATCGCCAGCGCCGTGAACTGCCCTCTGTACGTCGTGCACGTGATGAGCAAATCTGCGGCGAAGGTGATAGCTGCCGCGAGGAGAGAAGGTGACCCTCGGCGGGGCCCCACCCCCTGCGGTCAGCGAGCAGGGCACACAGGCTACCTGCTTAGAAACGGGGAAGCAGATGGGTTTGGAAATACTGGGCAAAGATGGGTGAAAGCCACGTGCATTTTATCCAGGGAGCTCAGGTCTCACCGGAGCGCCCACCCCCTGGCCGAAGCGCAGGCAGTCCCGCAGTGGGAGACGTCATCTGTTGACGCCCTCCTGAAAACGACAGCAAGTGGATAACGTACCTTCTTAAAAGCCGTGAGATGGGTTTGGTGTGCTTTTAAGTGCCACCGAAATAGGTTTGTTGAAACCACTTGTTGCAAGAAGGTTTAGTAAGGACTTTGTAAACCGTATTCACTTTTAAAATGTAATCATGTGTTAGGAATATGGTTACTTTCAAGCGAACTCTCAAAGCCTTACCACCAGCTATTACAGGACCCCTTCCCTCCTACACGCCTCCTTGAAACTGCTCCCGCCCCTCACCAAAACAGAAGTAGCTGAAACCCCGAGCTGCAGTTCTAGCTTTCTCCACCAGATGGTGATGTTGCCAGCTCCACGGAGTTGGTAAGGCTTGCCCTTTTCTATAGCACAGCCAGGACACAAGGTTAGAACAGTACAATCTGCAGAAATGCCAATCTTAGCACACCATCAAGCTGTGATTCTGAAATATCAGACTGGAAGCTGCTTCTTGACAGTGAGTATTTGTTCTATACTTGCACAAAATATGATAAGAGGCAGGCTATAAAGATCTAGGTGCCACAGACAGCTATTAATCTTAAGTCAGGCATTTTGATTATATTTTAAATCAGTTTTACTTCTTGAATGTGGGAACTGTTTATAACTTTACATTAGTATAAGTTACAAAACTAAATACAAAACTTGTCCAAAGAAGTTTTTCTTCCTTCTAGCTTTTTGTCATATCCCACAAGAAATATCTATATCTTGTTTTGTTTTCTTTTTTTCCTTCATTAAACAAAAAGCAAAGAAAAACAAACAAACAGCAGCAACAACAACAACAAAAAACCTCTGTAGTATTCTCTCCCTTACTGCTTTTTCTCTTAGAAATATGTCCCAGAGGTCAGCTCTTAGAGGGTGGGTTTTTATTGTTCTCATTTGTAGCTCTGGAATATGCTGCTCTGTTTATTCAAATAGTCCTCCAGTGGCGAGTGTTTGGTCTATTGCAGGCCGTGGCTCTTACAATTAGCACCACAGCAGTCACCTTCTGCAGAGACTATCTGGTATTTGTAGGAGGTGTGTGGCTTCTCTCTTGCCTCTGTAAGACATTACTCCAAGATTAGTGACTTAAAAATGAGCTTGTTATTCGGTTGGTCTAGATGTCAGAGTTTCCAGTCTGGAGTGTTCTCTTCTTTCCCAGCACCAGGGCCTCCTCATGTACCTCAGGGCAGGGCTCCTGCCTTCCTAAACCTTTAAAGGCAGCCGTGCTGCCTTGAGTGCTGTTGTCAGCCTTTTCTGGATGACCTCATGCCTCCCTCCTTCACTTCAAGGATTCTTGCATAACACTGAGCCAGCTCCATTAATTTAGAAGTGACCTCCCCATCTCAGGGTCTTAACCACAGCTATACAGCCCCTTTCACTACATTAAGTAACATATGAACGAACTATGAATTGACATGTGGACATTTTTAAGGTTCAGTTATGTGCCTAACATAAAAGGGCATCTTCTAGGAGGAGAATTACTGGTCAAAGATTAAATGGACATGCAACTTTTTAGATACTGCTAGATTAATTTCCTGAGCCGTAAGCATGGGATGGTTTAAATGCCACCCAAGCATGCTGGGTAACTTGGATTTACAATAAGGATTACTTGTAAAACATACCTGAGGGCCCAATTGTCAAAGAAACAGTTGTGCTTCAGAATGATTCGGTGTGAGATAGCCCGCTCTGTGAATGCAGTCTCTTCTGTGTAAGCAGGACATGTGATCAGGGAGGACCCCGAAGGAAGAGGAGCTAGACTAATAGACCCAAACTGTTCCCATGGTTCCTACATCAGTATACCCAAAAACAGACAGGGGAATGGTGATAGCTAAGAGCCCATGTACCACAATGACCTTCTGTGAAGGATTCAGCTACCCTCACTGTAATTCATTATCCTCCAACATCATTTCTGAACACGAAAGTACAATAAAGACCTGCTATTTGTAACCTTGTTTAAATAAGGAATAATTTATTCTTATGACTGTATATGAAAAATCTGTATATAGCTTGGTCGCCCACTTCTTTCTTCCTGGTCCCTGACACTCACAGTTGGTCCCTAGAATGTGACACTGGCATGGCCTCGGAGCAACGCTCAGAGACTTGGCCCATCCCAGACCCTCTGAACCCAACGTGCACGCCTAACAGAGACTCCAGGTGGTTCAAATGAGATTAAAGTCAGAACCAGACACAAAGGAGGGACTGTCAAATCACTAATTCCCTGTATTGTCACTTAGGGATATAACACTGTTAAATTTGACAGCTGTTTACCCAAAAGAGGCTGAGTTCATAGCAGCTAAAGCTACATGTACATCACAGAATAGGACTCTGGACCATTTATAACTTCGGGTTTAATTCCTCATTTTAGCTTAATTTATTCTTGCCTTGCATTGTCACTAGAATACTTCAAGTTCAGCTTTGTAACTGTTTTGTGACAGGTGACGTTGAGGCATGGGTGGAGCTCAAGATGACCATAAAGGCTAGGTCTATAGGTGCAGCCCAAGTCCACCACGCCTAGGCCAAACCTTCTCTGCGATTTTCTACTAAGGCACACAGCCTAGAGCTGCAGTGAATGCCAGGATTTACAAGTCATTGATTAGATGTTTTTAAAAAATTAACTGGCCTGGGGGTCTTGAACTCGTGTGTGAAAACCGCATTGAAGACATAATCATTATCTTTAGCATTTGGGCCTTATTGAAAGGATGGAGGTGGCGAGAACGGATTTGCTAAGGCATTCACCGGAAAGTCAGCTAGCGCTCATCTCTCAGCCAGTCTTTGGGGCTAGTGATTTTGGCCACCTCCACTTTTAGTTTTAAGTAGCTACCTTCAAGATTCTAGACTGTGAGTGTGTAATAGTGACTTAAAATCTGAGTCGTATCAATTGTTTTCCAACCATGAAAAATATGCAACTTAGCTTGTGTAGATCCTACCTGCCACCTGAGTTTGGCTAATTCAAATTGCCACTTCATGTGACACAGGGTTTTGTGCCTAGCTAGTGCTTTCAGTGAAACTCCAGAAATGTCTTCACCAGCCCCCTCTCTTGCCCTAGGCTGCAGGAGGAACTCGGGGCGTCTTGCCACTGCATTATTATTATCTTGGAATGACAGTGTTCTTCTCAGCCTTCACTTCCTTCCTGTCTGTCACTCCCCTGCTTTGTCTATAGGCTAAGCCCAGCGTTTGAATGTGGTGTGGGAGTGTGACACATTCTTCTCTGGTGAAACAATCGGTGGGGAGAGAAAGGTATCCACTCAGGGAGGTGCAAGCTGGGACTATTCACATCAACTCACGGAGAAGCGATTTCAAGAGCCAAGGTCAAGCGCATTCCCTTCACGCCAGTAAGGCTCCAAAGCACACCTAATTTTAGTTGCCTGCATATTTAGGCCATTGTTGTCTTATAAAGTTTCTTGGTTTTCCTGGAATTTCTCCAGTTAGCTCATCTAAAATAGGTTCAGAAAATAACAGCATGAGCTGCTTCCAGCCTTTTCTTTCTGCTTTCCATTAGGCAGAAGCAGTTCCTTTGGCAAGGAGGTTTGTCTCGGGTCCCCAGGGATAACCTTCCTCCCTCCCTCTCTGCCTGCTTCCCTGCCAGCCTGCCTCAATTTCTCTTTTCCTTGCTTCCCATCTTTTGTCTGCAGGTGGAACCAGGGCCTTGTAAACAGCACACAGGCCTGGCGGTGTGGTGATGAATCCACAGTCCCTCCCACAGCTTGACAAAGTCTAAGCCCACTGTGTGACTCATACCCTTTGATGTCCTAGGCTGGGTGTATGGGTTCTTGTCCTCATATTTCCACTTTCTTGAATACTTTGAGAATTCTCAGGTCATTTTTTTAAAAAGCAAAGTGTGTAAAAAGGTGAAATTTCTAATTTTCCTCAAGTTTGTTCAATGATTTGAATGAGCACAGAATTCTAGGTCATTCTGGAAAATGACAGCGCAATTCCATTCTGGCACTGTTACCAATACAGTATAATTGTTTTTTTCTCTCTGACTGGTATTACTATCTGGAATACTCTCGTTTCCCCTATCATAGAGATGTCGAAATTTCATTAAGCTCACATTGGGTCCTAAGATTTAAATAATTCACCTCTATGTTCAGGGTGTATTTTAATCTGAAAGCTGACTTTTTATTCTGAAAATTTCTTCTGTCATTTCTTCCATATTTATTTTCTCTGCTTACTTATTTACTTTCCCCATAATCTACCCCAGCAGCATCTTCATTTCCTTCCACTCTTTTCTCTTCTTATAAAACAAACAAACAAACAAAAACAAAAAACCCTCAAGATTTTGCTCAATATTTTACAAAATGACTTTGTTTGCTTCCCTGCCTTTCTAATGGACTTTTGTCTTGGTGCTCTTTTCTGTTTGATCCTTCTCTCTTTTTAAAAATGTTTTTCTTTTAATTAGAGATAGTGTCTTAATATCTCTAAGAATACTAATGAGGCTTTAAAATTCTCTTTGTTTCCTATTTTTTCGCTGGTTGGCTGGTTGGCTGGTTTTTGTTTTTTTAAATAAATTCTTAGTCTTTTTTCCATGGTTAGGAAGAAGGTTCAGACAGTAAGAGCACTTGCTCTACAAACATAAAGACCCGACTTCCAGCCCCAGTGCCCACATAAAAAGCCAGGGGCCACCATCTGTGGTGAAAGTGCCAGCACTGGGGATGGCGTTTGCTGGGGAGGCAGCAGAGACTGGATCTCAAGAGCTCCCCCACCAGCGAAGGCTATTGAAAAAGGGAAGCGGGTGTACACGCTCATGCAGGCACCACTCATACCCAACACACACACACACAC